GGTATCTTGCCCCAAATTGATTGGGTGATTTCCCTCTCTCAAGTGTAGTTTTCAAGGTATGGGGTGGGAGGGGTGACCTTTTTGACTCTGAAAACTGATTTGGCCCATCTTCAGTATCCGGGAAGGTCTCAAAATAGGGGGAACCCCCCAAAATGGTTGGCGTCCTTTTGGTTTCCCCTTAAATCCGCACGACAAACGTCCATTTTGAGAACCCCCCCATATCCTTCAAGGACTGGGCAATTTTTGGGATTCGCAGGGGTCATGGAGAAGTCCAAAGAACCCCCGCCCGGAGCCCGAGCTGGCTGGGTCCATGCGCGAGCCGTAGAGCAAAGGTTCAGCCGTTTTGTTGGCCAATCGCATGCACTGAGATGCTGGGAGCCCCGAGGAACGTCATAAATGTGTCGTAATTCTGGAACCACCCAACTCACGACTGCCTTTCAAGACTGAGCTATTTGAGGATCCTGTCTCCCTAGGTCCACGAGCATTTAGTCAGAACATGGGAGGTGTGGAAAAATGTTATGCAGCAAGCCAGAAGAGTAAATAATTTTCTCCCATGTCCGTTTGGGACTTTTTATCAAGTAATTTCGTCACGCCTCGACGCGGGCATCGGAGGCTTCTAGAAGTGGAGCCCGGCATGAGTCCGATGAGTGGTCAAAAATTACATGGCGATGGATGTTTCCTGGTTGCCTCAACTTCCTTGTTTGTTGGTTGGTGGACATAAATCCCGATGTAAATGATGTCAACCAATGGCCCAAGAAGAATTCCAGATGAGCACAATCAACACCTCGGTATATGAAGATCAGTAAGGGCCTGTGACCCAACCACAATCTGGTGTGGCCGCCCTTTGGATTCTTTGCCTTAAGTTGCATACCAGCATTGCATTTTGACTCGAATGACCCGTTTTGAGTTGAGTCACTCTTTGAGTTCCTGGACTGTATGCATTTTGAGATTGGACCATTTTAGCGACAAACAAGCCGGCATGCATGAACAACAGGGACATTGACAACATGGCGACCCTTTTCGGGGACTTGAGTGGTGGCACTGGCTCGGGTTCCCAAAACGGAGGGGGGGTATGTTTTAAGCTCCTGCATCGCTCAGCTCGGTCCAGCTCGCGCGCACACCTTCCTGAAAATGCAAGGACAAAACCGGTATGGCGGCGTTTGCGGGTGCAGCTTGGCCGCAAATCGCACCCTGTCGGCCACTCATTCAGCATGCTGATGGACTTTGCTTGGGCGTTCCCTACAAGCGGGTGTTTGTTTTTGTGTATCCCTTTGAACGCCCCGTGAATGCTTGGTGGCATCTTACACTTCGCCAAAATGATGATAGTATCTGAATACTTACTCACGGGTTTAGTGTTGAAGGCTGCCCTTAACGTTTATCTTGAAACCACACCTCTCAGGCGAAACCTGGACGCAGAAGAAGTGCCATTGTATTGTATGGCTGTAACTACTTCCCCACTTACAATTCCCCGTTCAGAATCCAGGGAGCTCTTTTGGAATGGGAACGCAAATCAGTTGATTCTATGCTGCTTTCTCAAAATAGAACAAGGGGTCAGCAACGAACATGGCCAGCTCACCGATTCTCACCGATTCAGGATGAAACAAGCAAACCCATGAAGATCCTTGGGGATTCTTTCATCCCAGTTTCTGAATGTCGGTGAAATTTATCTGATTCTAGCCGTGCCTTCCCTATTCTGTTCAGAGATCCTTCTCAAAAAATGGGCCACCCAAAGGAAATTGGTTTCTGAACAGAATGGTTGAAGATAATGATGAATCAACCAGCTGAGTTCAACCACTCCGCCTGCCCAGGATCCTATCCTCAGGATCGGTGGGATCCGTTGGCCATAGCTTGAGGTAGTGGCTATGGTTCGACTTGGTTTGGCGAGTGTTTCCCCTATTTGGCCTATTTTGTTCTCCGTTTTGGGAAATCAGCTGGCTGTTTGAAGCATGGGATCGGCCCATAGGCCAAAGATGCAGCACCAGCTGAAATCGCCGCGGGCTGAGGATATTCCCAACGGGTGGTACCATGTCTTAATCTTAAACTTTGCCCTTTGCTACAGTGATCGTGTTTGACAGCAAAATACATACCTGGACCCTCAAACGAGCCAACATCTTGGGATACTGCCCCCACATCTTGGTGGAGTGATTTCCCTGTTTGTAAGGGTAGGTTTATAGCCTAGGTTCAGGGGCAGTTCCAGCGGTAGACAGGGCGGATCTACATCCAGGAGGGCCTGGGTCCTCAACCCCCACAGAACATCAGAGGGCGCCAGAACTCGCCGCACGGAGATGGTCCAAATCCAGTCACGATCATGGGAGCAACACAAATCTTGGCTTCTTTGCTCGACCCCCCCCCCTCTGCAAGTTATAAGTTGTAGTGACCTCACAGGCTTTGTGAAGGTTCCTGGAACTCCATTTATAAAAACTTTCGCGAAAAGACTGAACCCCAGACCTCCAGTGGTGCCCGTCTTTCAGTGTGTTTAGTGGTTTCCTATTTAAATCAACCAACAACCAAAAGAGTGTCCTGTTTTCCCAATGGTCGCTGGGTGCCTCGGCAAAGTCCCAATGTGGACCTTCTGGGGTCCACGGTAGGGGCTGAGAGTGTAATCTATCCATTTATCAAAGCCTGCTTGGGCCACTTCGATGTGGGGTCTGTTGATTTATGGCAATGTGCGGGGGAGGTGGGGGGTTGGAAGCTGGAGGCCAGTTTCAGAGGTGTCACGGTCAAATCACCTCACTTGAGGCTCTTGGGGTTGGGCATTTCGCATAGCCGGGATGACACACATGACCCACACACTGCGTTTGACCATGGCAGAGTTGTTGAGGCTCTTAGGGCGACTGATTGACACGTACCCGTTCTTGCCCGTGGCTGGGAATCCAGATCCCCTGTTTGGCTCAACAGCAAGCCAAGTACTGAGTTTGGAGAGAGAGGTACAGAGGAGTGCAAGACAGTCTCTCGTGGCAGAAGAAGGCCAAGAGTTATTTGGCTTGGGGATTTGAAGGTTTTGGTTTTTGCAACCAAATGGAAGGGCTTTACTTCCCATCCATCTAATTCAAGGACTCAACATGACAATGCCATGATCATGAGGTGATTTGGCCGGAAAAATACTCACAGCTTTATTCCAATTAGTTAGGTCCTGATATTTCCTTATAGTCTTATAGTAGGGTTCATTTGCTTTGAGTTTTGTCTTCCTAGCGCGCGTTGCCATTTCTCTCAGGTCGCTACCACGAGTGCTCAGCCGCTATGCTCGCAGTGACAATGCGCGCAGGCGCGAGGTTTCAGGCGTCAGTGCTTGTCCAAGGGCTACTTCCCCAGCGTCATCCATTGTTCTCCAGAATCCGCTGATATTCTTGTGGATTTTGCCCATATCAATGGAGCTTTTCCTCTTCTCCACTCCAGCTGCAAAACACGGTGCTTTTCTTTTCCCTTTTTGAGAGGTTTTCTCTGTGTTTCCATGGCCGCTGGATGTTTGAGTCTGGACTCGCTGCCAAGGAGCAGAGGAAGGTTTTCAGGGGAAGGGCTGAAGGGCTTGTCCAGGGTCCAGGAGTCATGCAGGGATCGGACTGGAACGAACACGGGTAAAGCAAAACAAAACAAGCAAACAAACAAACAACTCTAGGGGTTGATTCCTTGTCCATTATTTTCAACAATCGTTCTTTCCAAAACCTTTTCCGTTTTCCCTGGGTTTCCGGAGGTTTTCTAGAAAGAAGGATCCCTGGAAATAATGGGGAAGGTACCCCTAGAACAACAGACAATCAAACAAAGCACACAAACACGCAGACAGACATGGTTGCAAGCAAGCAACCAAACAGAACATGCAAGATTTCCTTCATATGTCTTGTCAGCTCTTGCGACTGCGCAAGTTTGAGATCATGCGCTCCACTCTTGTGTTTGTTTTTTTGTTTTGGCGAGGTAGGCTCACAGCATTTGCTTCAGGCGAGCGGTGAAGGGTGAAATCCAGGCGAATCATCTCCGGTCGGCCGAGTCGTCTCCATGCCTCTTGAGTTGGACTATGGCGATTCCTTGGTAAGAGGAATTGGTATGGGTCAAAAGTAAGCCACCAGAGGACTGCTGGTTAGTCCCATCTATTTACGGGGGGTCCATTTTGGGGCTACCCTTTTTTTTTGTTGACCCACAGCCATATAGGTCCTACAGGTACTGTGAGTTTGGGAGTAGAGAAATCTCCGGTTGGGCCAACGGAGGGGAGGGACCCAAAACCTTCAAAATCTTTGGGGATCTTGGAGGCCCTCATATATCACCAGGAGAAAAGGTGTTCCTCTTGGGAGTTGAGCGCAACCCTTCCGAACCCTTCGGTGGCGGACATGTGTCTCGCGGATCGCATTGTTTTGCTTTAAGCTAAAATCAAGTTAACAACCGGAAGTTCGATCCTCTGGGCAGGGACAAGAAACAAGAGGCTTTGAAATTGGTCCGCTTTGTCCGACGAAGACGCATTTACCAGAACCACGAGGCAAAGACTTCAGGAATACCTATAGGGCCTTGGTGTCACAAGGATCCCCATTATTCTAATGTGGAAAAGCATCCTGGTTCCCCCTCCAAAAGTAGTCTGAATCCCCTCTTAAAGGGGACACTCCCTATCAATCAACCAGGGGTGTATGAATCTAGGGTTCACATTATGCCAGATGGTGGTTGCTTTTGTAGTGCATCGTTGCGGTGGAACCTGACGAAAGGGGGGGGTCCTGGTTTGGGCAGTTTTCCTCGATCAGACATGGACCCTGGTGCAGGCTGGGTTATTTCTGGATGGGAGGGTAGGACTTACGATAAGGGAACCCCGTGTCTTGAGGTGGTTTTACGGGGGTCCCGTTTATTTGAACCCAGGTATTTGTCTATCGGACAAAGGAGGCTGAGCAGGGGACCAGAAACGACCTTTCTGGTGATGAAAATATGGTTTTCTTTTGCACAATTACAAAAGCCTGAGTTTATTCAGCCATCCAATTTAGTTGGGAAGTAGGAGGCTGATCCAGGCTGTATATCTCTGTATGTGCCTGAGATATATGGCAAATTGGTGGTTTGGATTGATGGGAACAGGGGACTTGAACTGCTGGCTTTTGTAATCTTTTGTAGGTGAATGGGAAAAAAACTCTAAGCTGCAAAGCACCAATCCAAGACACCAAGCAAGGGGAAGCTGACTGTTTAGCTGCCAGTATCCATGACTTCCTGCACGTGGCTTTGGGACGCGCACAGGCACAGGCACAGGCACCTACAAACATACACACATGTGTTCACTCACACCCTTGAGGCAGAACCATGGAAGCACGTACTGGGATCCTTGCTGAACTCGGACATAGGCATCAAGCACCCATGAAGGCGTTTACCGGGGTTTCCTTATTTCAACCTCAACGTATCTTTGTTTTTGGACGATAAAACCAGCTCACTCAAGAAGGCTTGCTGCCTGGTGGATGATTTGTCAGTGAATTGCAAATAGTTCAGAGTTGTTCCCCGATGCTGTTGGCTCTCTGTCTTTCTATGGCTCTTAGTGGGGCAACTGCAGGTAAGGTCTCGGGCCCAAGAAGAAAGGAAGACAGAGAGGCGCACAGAGTGAGGCCTTTGGCATCATGCCGGCTCGCCGGGGGCTCGAGGGAAAACACAGCGGCCCCCTTAAGTCTGGGGTAGCCATAGTTTGGTACCTTGAAACTTATGGGACGTTTCTTTGAACAAAATATCTTCTGGATCTTATATGCTTGTCTTTTTTGACCACCAGATCCCAGATCCGCCGTCAACCGTTGACAGACCCATACGTATTGCATGTATATAGCAGACAGCATGATCATGTTTGATTTCACAGACGGGGCAACGGTTTTCGGGATCCGTGCTTGTGTCATCTGGTGCCACCCAGTCACGAAGGTCAAAAACCCTATTCAGATTCTGTTCGGTTTTGGAATTGGTGCATGCAATAGTCTGCGTTGAAAGTGTTCCTGGGAATGGCGTCAATCAGAATGAACTTGACGGCAACTGGCTATGATGGTATTGAGACCGTGTCTTTTTCTTTTTGCGAACAAATGTCTACCCTTGTTTTAGGGTTTTGGAGCAACCTTGTACAAATTGCATTGTCCTGCAGGTTGTGCAGTTGCTTGCCCTTTCTCCAATAGGGCAACCCCCCATACCAACCCATGCATATTTGCGTCTGCCATGGCGAGCTCACCGAGTAAAAGAAGCTCACCACGAAGGTGCTTACTTAACTTGGGATCCCTGCACCCATCTGTGCCACGGTCTACGTGCGGTTGCTGCGGGGACCCTCGGAGAATGGACAACGATTGCATACCATTGCACTTGTAAGCCTTCCCACCAAAGGCTGAAAGGAAAAGCCTTGCAAGAAACCATTGAATTCTTTCATGCTCGACAAATGTGCAGCAAACGGATCGTTCCGCACAAGGGCCTGTTTGGCAAGGTGGTAAGCTTGTATCTTAAGCTTGTGCAGCCCGAAGCAACTTGAAATGAGAAACGGACCGATAACCTTGATTGTCATTGCTCGTCATGAACCGAAATGACGTTTGACGCTTTGGTGGAGCATTCGCGTTTCAAAGTTGTTGAACACCAAAGCATCGTTGCCGCGGAGACTCGGCTTTTCGCAATGAGTCTGTATTCTCGGCTGCTATTTGGATGGATCTTCGGCCTTCGACTCAGGGAAACGTGTGTTTTCCGAATAACCAACCAAAACTTGAACTTCTACACCGGGGCCAAAACTGAACCTCGGATTGGTCCGTAGGGGGTTCCTTAAGACACTGAATCAATCTGGGGAGCTGCGTCTTAGCCATGTTCCTTTGAGCTACCCTTCCAAGTTGGCACGTCTCTTCAATTTCGATGGATGAATCAACCTGGGGCAGTGCCTTTCCACAAAGACAAGACAAAGGACTCCCTCTCAAAAAGGGCACCTGGGGCAGTGTTTTCCCCGCAAATACGAAGGACTCAAAAGTGAAAAGTCAAAAGAGGACATGGCCATGAGCGTCTGTGGCATTGGGCCCAGGTAGCGAACCGAATGAAGAGGACAGCCTACCGCTGCTGGCCAGCTGGCAACTGCTGGGTCAGGGTGTCCTTCATTCGAGGATAATTTTTGGAGCAATGTTGAAAGACTACCGAAGACAAACTTGGTTTCCTATGAGCGACCACAGGATTTGGGAGGATCCCTCAAGGGTTTTAAACAGGAGCTAACCATGTTGGAGGAATCTTGATGCTGAGGCCTGGTGGTTCTTTTGTATGGACTGGCAGAATCCTTCCTTGGAAGCGTGTCAAGCTTGTGGATTGTAATGGGGGATACTCTCAGCAGTGGACATGAATCCCCCTGGAAATGATGTTTTCTCGCTGAAGAGGCAGGCCAAAGGAGCACTGAGATCTTCGATGCGACAGTCTCTCCATGTCTCAGATGATTCGTTGGGGTCGATGGTCTCCATCAACTTGCAGGGCGGAAAGCCTTGCCTAATACCTACACCTGTTCGGCGATTTCATCCTTGGCTTTATTTTGCTGGTTCTCAGGGAATGAAGGAATGACCCCCTATAAACCATTCCCTTTAGGGAAATCCCCAAACGGTTCATTCCCCCAACACCCGGTTTCGGGTCATATCGCACCAGGTGGTTGGGGGCCCTTTGGAGCAGGCCTCGCCTATGCAAAGTATGGGACTCAACGAAAGCATGGCAGCACCGCGGGTTTTTTTGGGTTCAAGGTAAATTGAGTCTGCAGTGCAAACAGCGTAGCAGTGGCCTATTTGAGAGCTTCCTGTCAAAGTCCTTTTCTAGGCTTCAGCCGGCTGAATCGCCGTAGGTTCAAGCGAGGAGCGATTCAGAATCGAGCACATTCCGGCACACATCAGGCAGCCTTATCTCTGGTGTGCTGGGTACCAAGCCTACAAACAACATGTTGTTCTGGAAGGAACATGATGTATTGCACGAATCCAGGTCTTTTTGTGGTATGGCACGTTTCACATGGCTGTGGGTCAGAAATAGGTACCCAAAGCTTGACAGCCCTTCAGCCTGACAAGCATTTTTTCGCGCCCTGGTCTGTGGTGCATGCTAACATCTGCGTGCTCCGGACGCGTGAAGCTGCTATCCCCACGGGCTGTGAGGTTGGGGGCTTTTAGAGTCAGCCTGTGGAATCCAGGTTGTCGTTCTGCTGTGGGTGTTTGTTTGGTGTTGCTTATTGGTACATATGTTTGTATCTATACCCTGTGCTTCCTCGACTATTCTTTAAATAGCCTCGACCATTTAAAAAACGAAAGGCTATAAAAGTAATGTCCCTCGACCATTAAAAGTAGGTCTAGACAAACTTGGCCAACTCGAGACGGCTGGCTCCTGACATCCCCGCGCGCTTCTGCGCAGCGAGAGGTTGAAGAACTTGATTGCTGCCTTTTATGAAATCAGCTAAGTATGTTTTACTGTCGCTTCATCCCGTTGTAATCACACGCCGTCACCATGCTGTGTCAATTTGGCTTGTCCCTCACATGCCCGTGCGTGCTTTTCCACCTCTTGTCCACAGCTCCACAGAGTCTGATCGCGTGTTGTGCGTTGATTGTTTAATCGATTTCGAAAGAAAATGAGGCGTGGACAAACCATGGACAAACCGTGGAAAGTACGTTTTTTAGCGTGGAAAGTACATTTAAAAGCGTGGAAAGTACGTTTAAAAGCGTGGACAACCGCCCACAACGCATGCCTGATCGGCAGCGATGCCCCGAAGCCACTAAGCTTGCAGCATTGTCAACAAAACCGGATCAGTACCAACATGCGAAGAATCTATGCACGCCTCTACAGTCGGTACACCTGGCGATTTTATAAAGTGATGCGACCATACATTTGGATAGCCGGGGAATGGGTGGCTTGGGCGCAGTCATTTGCAGCTGGGAGGATGAGGCAGCATGACTTTCAGTGACCTGACCCTAAGCAATTATTGGGCAACAAAAACATGATTTTTGGGATATTCAGGGCCAGGCGCAAAAAACGGTCTTTCGGCAAAAAACCGTCTAGCGACCTCGACCATTCTTTTAATGGCCTTTGGAAGCCTAGGGTATATATTGAATGTGTGTGTGTGTCTCTCTCTCTCTCTCTCTACGTGCTTGTTTATGTTTGCTTATTTTGTGTGTGTGTGTGTGTGAGTGTGCGTGTGTGTGTTTATGTCTGCTTCTTTCGTGTGTGTGTGTGTGTGTGTCTGTCTGTGTGTGTGTGTGTTTTGTACATGTCTGTGTGTCTGTGCTTGTGTTTGATAGGCGGTTAAGTTGTTTTTAAGGAGGTCCACCATCAACAGCGCCTAAGGATATATGCATTTCTCTGATTTCTCTTGTCGACAGGCATTTAGCTCCTGTTCACAACGCTCTTTGGATCATTTGTTTGGCACGTTCGTCATTCCGGTGTCCGTTTATTCCGATATAACCGGAGTTTGGCAGTCCCGTAGAGCTTAAAGCTGACATACTACGTGAAGGAATCATTACGACCAAGGTCGTAATGCCATCAGGTCAGAGTACAACCTTGCGGCAAACTTTTAACATGTGCCGGTATCTATGTTTCAGAGGTTCAAGGAGTGTTGGCTGTTGCCTGCAAGGTTTGGGCACAGACTGCGCAGTCGCTGTGTTGAATCAACTCGCACTAGGCGTATCAAGTGAACTCACAGAGTCCAGACTGCAATTTCCTTGTGACGAGAGTTGAACGGTGAATCTGAAGCGCTTCTACACTTTCTCGGAGCTTGTCGCTTCATCCCTGCCACTGTTTCTGAAGATCCCGCAGGGCGCACTCCCGGCTTCAAGCCAACCATTCGTCCATTTCTCCTGATCTGGCCAGGCCAGCGCAGCTTTTGCGCCCACCGCCTTTCGGAGGTCAGCGCTTCGTCTTTTCCGCGGCCACAGCGGCGGCTGCGAAGCTCGCCGCGCGGTGCGCGCTGCGCTTGCTGCGGCGAGCGCTGGGGATGGAGCGGCAGCATCACCCCTCGGCGTTGAGGAACCGGCAGCCCATTCTGGAGGCGGAGAAAACATTGGTGTGGTCAAAATTGAACCACCAGAGGACCACAGGTTTTAGTCCTTGGTTCCATTTACCAGGGTTCCTTTTTGGGAACATGTTCATTTCACCCCGGATAGTAAGTGATGCGCTTTTGTGTTCTCTTTTTGTTCGGGGGGGCGGGGGGGCAAGGTTTCCTGTAAAATCAAGTGCCAAAAACGCGCGCCCTAATGATCGTAAAAGGAATCCGGTTGATAATTGGTCCCCGTCGTTTTGGGTACACGACCTCAGATTTGAGGCGGGCTGGGCGTCTCACGATCAATCTCAAGCCCAAGCCAAAGAATTCCTCAAACTTTATGGACCGCTTCTAGGTGGTTGGTTCCTCTTGGTTTCCCTTTGTGTCTGAAGCTTTTCGCGCGCGCATGCACAGCTGTCGTGGTGCGGTGCTCGCCATGTTCGTCGCTCCGGCCAGCGTTTTGCGGTGTCGCTTGCCCCTCGAAAACCGCGGCCCGAAGTGAAATGATGCGCACCTGAGAGTGTCACGTGCATCGAAAGGCTAGGTCGAAGGATGATACCCTCGCACCTAAAGAAAATGCCGGCTTCTGAACGATTGAGGCTGGTGCAACTGAAATGCATCGCGTCGAAAGCCCTCAAAACGGAAGGGAGGGCAAGTCTAACGAATTGAACCGCCCAGGCCAAAGTGGGCCGGATGAAGAACATGCTCAGAGGGCGCAATGTTGCGGTGCTGCTCGCATCAGTCGTGAATAAAAATCCAGGCTGGCAGCTAAACCACAGAGCGAGCACAACAATCTGCTCTTATGCCTTGGCCCCTTCCAAGGAGATCAACCAGAAGCGCCGGAAATGCTGGTTTGATTTGTGTCTCAGTAGGGGCGTACAGTTGGAGCCAGTTGTCAGGTAGCCAATCTCCAAGGGTGGCGTTGTCGACCTGCGAGCCCCAATCAGTGTCATCCAATGTGATCTGATGCGCGTTGGGCGGATTGGCCTTGTTTGCTTCGAGTCTGAACTCACCAATGTCAGCAGAAATATACGCATTCCTAATTCCACCGCCCGTTTCGAACTGCAATCTTCACCGTCCAGCTGAAGCAGAGAGCAACGTGCCTGAGGCCGCTGATAGTTGGTGAGCCTGGCGCTATGGTCCACTGATTGCGTTCCGCACACATCGCCATTCTTCAATAGGTGTCTCGCAAAGAGAGAACTCCAGATGTGAGGGCGTCCAGAAGAGTTGAATGTCAGATTGCATTTGCTGAGCAAGGTCCTGTAACTGCCTGCAGAGATCGTGATTTGCGTCCGTTGCCACAGAAGTGTTCATTTGGCCGGCCAGAATAGGTAATGCCTTGCGAACGGTTCCAAGTGAGTCCGACCAAATCTAAACATTACACGAGAAGTTGATTGTGTTCGTAGTCGAGACACACCTATACACAGAGACGTAGACATGCTGGGACAGACACATCTCACACAAACGCGCAAGCACACCGTACACGTGCAGCACGCACACAAGCGCACACACACACACAAAGAGACACAGCCACAAAAAGGCGCCCACACACACACACACGCACAGTGCAACAGACTGTCACCAACATAGACGCAGACACAAAGACACACACACACAGACACACACAGACACACACAGACACACACAGACACACACAGACACACACAGACACACACAGACACACACACACACACACACACACACACACACACACACACACACACACACACACACACACACACACACACACACACACACACACACACACACACACACACACACACACAACACAACACAACACAACACAACACAACACAACACAACACAACACAACACAACACAACACAACACAACACAACACAACACAACACAACACAACACAACACAACACAACACAACACACACAACACACACACACACACAACACACAACACACAACACACAACACACAACACACAACACACAACACACAACACACACAACACACAACACACAACACACAACACACACACACACAACACACACACACACAACACACAACACACACACACACAACACACACAACACACACACACACACAACACACACACACACACACACAACACACACACACACACACACACAACACACACAACACACACAACACACACAACACACACAACACACACAACACACAACACACACACACACACACAACACACACAACACACACAACACACACAACACACACAACACACACACACACACAACACACACAACACACACACACAACACACACAGAACACACACAACACACACAACACACACAGAACACACACAACACACACAACACATACACACACACACACACACACACACAACACACACACAACACACACAACACACACACACACACACACACACACACAACACAGACACACACCACAAGCACACACAAATGTCAAATACGCATGTGCACACGCCAAGGAAGGGCACATGCACGCACGCGCACACACACACACACATATTGATTTTTGCATATCCGGGCTTGGCGAGCATAGCGTCGACAGCCAGACAGATTGCACATGAACACGGAATTTGGCAAAAAAGATAAGAAAATGCGACTTAATTCACTGTTTTTCGGTGTTTCTTCCTTTCCTTCAACCAGCAACAAGTCAACTTGATGCAGGGGGTCGGATCAGTCTGGTCGAGATTCATGAATGATGTCATTTGAATATTCACTAAATTTGGACCAGAATCAACCATCTTACCCAGACCGCCAGTGGTGACCTTTCCTGTTTTCTCCGGAGGTGCTTTCCCCTAGGCATCTACGAACACCAGGGTACTGGGGGTTAGGGCTGCGCGGGCAACAGCTGTCCCCGTTCTCAGAGTGTCGCGCTGTTAGAGGTGCTGCAGAAGACGCTGCCGGCGGAAGGCCTGGATGGGGGGCCAACTCCTCGTCTTTCTTAGCCCACTAGTCTTCATGGCTGGTCTCTGTGACCCAACCGCCTGTTAGACTTTGTGGAAAGACCAGGCCTTTTGCTCAGGGAAGAGCAGCCCAGTGTTTAGACAGCTTATGTTTGCTTTGCCTTTTAATTGGAGGGGCTGATTGTTCACATACAACTTCTGCCAAATTTATGGCGAGGGGGTAAAACGAGCTCATGTTGATCCTTGCCTTGGGGATCCAAGGTTTTCTTGTACATGTCGCAGATTGTTTGCCAAACCCTGCGAGGGAATCAAAAAGCAAGTGCCATGCCTCTAAAATCAGGCGCTTGCGAACCACGGAAGGCAATGAGGTACTTGGACACTTTGGGTACGGAGAAGCTATTTACCTAGGAAGTTTCATCATCCAAATTGCGGAATCCGGGTCAACGTTTGGTACCGTCTTACGTCTTTGCCGTTGAATGAAATGATGGTATTAAAGATTGCTCTCCTAGGTTGAGGGTTCAAGAATGACCAAGAGCAGGGCTCACTGTATTTCCCAGTGTCTGCTCGTTTTCGACATGGTGATGCCCTACCATTGAACGTACCTGGAGTCTCCGCCTTTGAAAATGGGTCGATGACCCTTTATTTTGGTAATGACCCCAGTTTAAAAGGGTCATGGAGACTCCAGGTACCCAAGCCGACGATTTTCCCCAGGTCCCCAAGTCCCCGGTTTCGCGGCCGTTTTGGAGCGAGGCCTGGTGCTGGAGATTGGCTCAGGGAGCGGCTGCCACGTGGAGCATTTCGCCCCCAACTTCCCGAAGCCCGGCGGAAGCCCCTGGCTCTGGCTGCGTTAGGCGTTCTTCGTGCAGTCCGTAGCTTATGTCTTGACTGCTATTAGGTTGGATCTTTAGACTTTAACTTTTGGCGACATAAAAGGGGTTTTTTCCACGATTTGCAAATAATTTCTAATTTACCTTTGTCCTGTCAGGTCAAGTTTTTCCGTTGTGGTGGACTCACGACATTTCCCACCCCATGCGACGGTGGCTCGTAGCCTTACATCGATTTCGCACTGATTGGCTTTCTTTGTGGTTCCAGATAGGGAGAAATTATGGGGTAGATACATGGTGGGTCATATCGGGTTAATTTGATTAGTTCCAGATTCGGGTTGATGGTGGATATATTTTGCCAACACTTCATGCTGTGTTGCGGTTGGTTTGCCTTTTGTGAGGGGTGCCTCTTTCTGATCTTGGTTCACTTGTGTCTTTGCGGGCTGTGCTGTGTGTCGTGATGGTATGCTGACTTACGTGTTAGTTTTTAAGGGGACCAGAAGGAAGCCCGACCAACTCCAAAAGGGTTGGGTTACAGGAAGCTCTGCAGGAAGACAGCTTATTTAGGCTGTTTTTGGGGCCATTTCCCTGTAACCAACCCTTTTGAAACTCCAATTTCGAGAATTCCCCATGAGACTCGCCGTTTGCGCAGTGTCATTCCTTACCTCAGGAAGCTGACATGGCAGCCCAGCGAATTCGTTGAGGGCAGGGAATCGGTGCTTCAGGACCGGGTCCGAAGTCTGGTCAAGGGCTCTGCCCTCATCCACTGTAGCCCCCCCCAACAACCCCCCCCCCGATTTTGGGGCACATCAGGTTTGCTCAAACTATCGAGCAGTGTATACAGTATGTTTTTTGGGGCTTTAGCCATAAACCCATGAGAGCGGATATCCGCTTATGCACAAAAGCTGGCCCGCAAAAGCTGGCCTCGAGATGCGTTGCTTGAGGGTGGATATTTAGATTCGCCACCACTAGAATTGGTCTGCAAAAAAACTGTGAGAACAAGGGCGTTTGGTGTTGTCTGATACCACGCTTTGCCGTAGTACCCTGCTTCTGCCTCCCTTTGCGATGGTCACATAGGTTTCTATTTGCATTTCTTTCACCGAGCAGCCCGCACAGGATGCTGGTATTTGTTGGTAAGAGTTGACAGTTGAGCCCAAGAAAATGGTAGCTCCCATGCAGATCTTGAAGGCCTGTGGCTTCGTCGCTCACCAGTTCGACCTGCCTAAGATCAACTCAGTGCTTTGGTACTGGTTTCCGGATACCCGCCAATTTGACTCATGCGTCTAGCTGAAAAGGTCAGATTGGCTGTTGTGCACAGGCTCGTTTCGAGGCGGTTCGGCATACTCCTTCTTCCCACTGACATGCAAAACTACAACCGGAGAGGAGGGTAGTGGGGAACAGTGGCAACAGCTGAGTTATGGGTATGAGCCGGGAACACCACTATCGCCTTTCTTTGTATCCGGTTGCCAATGGAACATCAGTCCCAAGTGCTGGCTAGACAGCTGGGCGGGTTCCTCCACAGAGTGGGTGGTGGGGGGTTAGGATCCATGACGGGACTTGGTTTGCATTTCGGTGTCCCAGGATTTAAAGTCTCGTAAATGGTTGGGATTCCCTGAAAGCGCCATTCAAAATCAAGTGCCCTCTGTTTTTCAGGTTCGAGTGCGGTGGCTTGAGTACACCCAGCAGAAGCTTCCTGCGCCATGAAGGTGTATGTTTACTTGCCCAGCGGAGATGGTTTCTCCATGAAAGTTTCACCGGCGATGCCCATCAGCAAGCTAAAGGATGCAGCGCAGCATCATTTCCAGCGCCGCTTGAAGCTCATCGCGAAAGGCCAGCAGCTAGACCTGACAGACACGCTGAGTGACGCCGGGTTGCGAGATGGGGACGTGGTAGCTGCGGTTGTGCAGCTGGGCAAACTGGCTGTAACCATGAGAGCGTTTGCTTTGCATGACCACGGGGGCGATGTTGTGACCTGGGGTTATGGGGAATACGGGGGAGACAGCAGCCAGGTGCATGGCAAGCTGAGAAACGTCCAGCACATCCAAGCAAGTGCACGTGCCTTTGCTGCCATTCTGGAATCTGGAACTGTTGTGACCTGGGGTGATCCAGAATATGGCGGAGACTGCAGCGGGGTGCAAGAGCAGCTGAGGAACGTCCAGCACATCCAAGCATCCGGAAGTGCTTTTGCTGCCGTGCTTGAATCTGGTGCTGTTGTGACCTGGGGTGATCCACACCACGGCGGAGACAGTAGCCAGGTGCAAGAGCATCTAGGGAACATCCAGGGCATTCAAGCAACTTGCGGTGCTTTTGCTGCCATTCTCGAATCTGGAACTGTTGTGACCTGGGGTCATCCGGCATGTGGCGGAGACAACAGCCAGGTACAACAGCAGCTGACAAACGTCAAGTGCATTCAAGCAACTATATCTGGACTTGCTTTTGCTGCCATTCTTGCATCTGGAACTGTTGTGACATGGGGTCATAGGGAATGCGGTGGAGATTGCAGCCAGGTGCAAGAGCAGCTGAGAAACGTCAAGCACATCCAAGCAAGTGGACGTGCTTTTGCTGCCATTCTTGAATCCGGAACTGTTGTGACCTGGGGTGATCCACGACATGGCGGAGACAGTAGCCAAGTGCAAAAGCAGCTGAGGAGTGTCCAGCACATCCAAGCAAATGTTGGTGCTTTTGCTGCCATTCTCGAATCTGGAACTGTTGTGACCTGGGGTCATCCGAAATGTGGCGGAGACAGCAGCCAGGTGCAAGAGCAGCTGAGGAACGTCCGGCACATCCAAGCAACTTTCGGTGCTTTTGCTGCCATTCTCGAATCTGGAATTGTTGTGACCTGGGGTCATCCGGAATGCGGCGGAGAGAGCAGCCAGGTGCAAGAGCAGCTAAGGAACGTCCAGCACATCCAAGCAACTGGGAGTGCTTTTGCTGCCATTCTTCAATCTGGGTTTATTGTGACCTGGGGTCATCCGGAATGGGGCGGAGACACCAGCCAGGTGCAAGAGCGGCTGTAGAAGGTCCAGCACGTTTGAGCAACTGGAGGTGTTTTTGCTACCAGTCTTGAGTCTGCCAACCACGCGGAGGGATGCCGAATGGGTTTTAACACATAGTAGACATACATGGGTGTACATGCAAAAAGATCATATCTCTTTTTTTTCTTGCTAGCATCCCTACAAAACAGGGCAAACTCCTGAATCCAGACTTCTTTGTGCATAACCCTTTAATAATTAAACACTGTTGTATGTGGCTACTTGCAATAGCGTCACTCTCATGTGAGGTCACTATTTCTAGTCTGTTGGCCCAGTCATGACGCGATAGGATTTGGTTTTCTTTGTGGCTTTTCGATAGCCCAGAATTTCCAAGTACTCAGGTTTCCCTTAGTTGGTGGTTTGGGTTGGTGGTTTGGGGATTTGAGCCTTTGGCTTTTGTAGCGAGAAAATAGGAAACCACGCCCGAATCACTGATAATCACCGACCTGAAGTAGTCCACGTGAGTTTAATGCTTTTAGGTTCGGTGAAAGGGGATTTGTCAACAACACGCACATGTGAGGTAAGGGGAACCTCACAGGGATTGATCTTTATCCTCTTGGGGGGGGGGGGAATTATGTAGTGCGTCTTGCCCACCTAACATAAAGCTTAACTTGTTGCGGGCCAGATTCCAAGTTCATGTGGAACAAACCAGTTGGTACTTCTAACAAGCAGGCAGCAAGCCCCAAAACGGACTCAAAGGTCCCTCTAGTCGCCTTGGGCGCCTTCAAAATGGCTGATCGGGGTTGATGTGTTCTTTTGGTGGGGAGCGACCTCCCCGCATACGACGTTGGGGAACCAAAACTGGACGTTTGTTTCCCTTTAAAGCAGCCCCAAACAATAGACGCCCGGATGCAAGATGTAACTTCCAAATTCCAGAAAATATTAAGGAACAACTCCAATCAAATTGTATATGCTAAAATTAGATTTAAATTATGATTAATCTAGTTCAACGTAAATGTTACACAGGAATTCCTTTTCCAATAGATTTGTCCTTACACGTTGCATGGCAAAAACCCTGAGAATTACAAATGATTTTTTTGTTTTTTTTTTACGGACAGTACATCACTTTTGGCTCTCCAAAGCAAACAAATAAGGACAGTACAGCACTTTGAGCACCCTGATCTCCAAAGTGCTGCACTGTCCCTATGTTTTTGTGGAAACACAAAGCAAAGGGACAGTACAGCACTTTGGAGCACCCTTACCTCAAAAGTGCTGTGCTGTCCCTATTTGTTTGATTTGGAAACACAAAAAAATAGGGACAGTACAGCACTTTGGAGCACCCTTACCTCAAAAGTGCCGTGAGGTCCCTATGTTTTTGAACAATTATTTACACGCTGACGCGACACAGCCGGCCACCGGGCACCCCTTCCCGTTCTTTCATCTCCTTTCCCTCTAAGTTTCCTGGCATGTCCCTTCACTTCCTTCCACTTCACTGCCGCTTCAGCTCCCTTCATTTCCTTGAAGACTCCTTCATTCCATTCCTTTCCCTTTTCGGCCTTGCATTTTCCTGCAGCTTGGTTTCTCTCCAGCGCCCTCTTCATTTTCGTGCAATGCCTTTGACTTGCATTTCGTTCACTTCCAGTCACTCCTGTTTCCTTTCAGCCCCTTGTTTCGCATCGCCAGCATGCATAGCATCATCCGCATCATCCGGGATGATGCTGGCAATGCTGGGGGTGTTGTCCAGTATTAGGCACCCCCCAAAAATACTCGTTTTTGGACTCGCTGCGGGGAGATGCTACAAAAATCGCCTAAACCAATCCGCAAATCCTTCGCCCCTTATAAGGGAGGGCCCAGCATAAAACGTATGCGCATGGTCATGGTCCGCGCATGGTCGGCGGCATGGGGCGCGCGGCCTTATACCTGAAGGTAAGCCCTAACGGGCTTTGGCCTGCGGCCCGATCACGTCCGGTGGCCGGATTTACACGCTGACGCGACACAGCCGGCCACCGGGCACCTTGCCCTGCCCGTTCTGTCACTTCCCTTGTAAGTCCGATGAGTAGATGTTAAGATCTTAAAATTCTAAAAACTTTGAGATTCTAAGGGTCTTAGATTTGAAGACTTTCGGAATTTAAGGTTTCAATGGTTGAAGAATTAAGGTTTTAAGATTCACAGATTTAAGGCTTTTGAAGGTTATAACAGCCAGGCCATTGCCCAGCCATTTTCCATCCAAGGCTTTAAGCTTGTACTTTTGTGAGATTTTCAGATTTGGCGACTTTCGGAATTTAAGATTTTAAGATCTTAAGATGTCAAGACTTCAAAATTTGAAGATTAAGAGGTTAAGGAATTTAAAGTATTGCCCGTATTGAAGGAATTTTATTATATTTTTACTTGTTTATGAATTTAATATTTTCAGGTTGCAAAAGTTCGAGATTCATATTTCAGATTTTAACATCTGAAGATTCAAAGACATGAGGGTTTCTGTCACTTCTCTTTCCTGTAAGTCCGATGAGTAGATGTTAAGATTTCAAAATTCTAAAAACTTTGAGATTCTAAGGGTCTCAGATTTGAAGACTTTCGGAATTTAAGGTTTCAATGGTTGAAGAATTAAGGTTTTAAGATTCGAAGATTTAAGGCTTTTGAAGGTTATAACAGCCAGGCCATTGCCCAGCCATTTACCATCCATTATCAGATTTCGAAGGCTTTAAGATTTATTTTTTGTGAGATTTTCAGATTTGGCGACTTTCGGAATTTAA